CGGATGGGTAAAAGGAAAAACACAGTTCCCAAGAAAGGGTTTCAAGGGCGGGTTTTGGGGGTCTTCCCCCCCCCCCCGGCAATTAAAAGGCGCAAGGAAATTAGCAACTCTTTTCTGCTAGGTGGGGGGGGGCAAAGGGAGCCCTTCTGAGTTTATAAACCCCTTTCTCCCTCTATATGATGGCAATTTTGTGGGGCGGGGCAGGGTCTTATTTATTTATTTGTTTGTTTGTTTGTTTATGTAACTCAAGGCAGCAAACATGCCTAACACTCCTTCCTCCTCCTCTTTTCCCCACAACAACCCTGTGAGGTGGGCTGGGCTGAGAGAATGACTGGCCCAAAGTCACCCAGCCGGCTTTCATGCCTAAGGCGGAACTAGAACTCACCGTCTCCTCCTTTCTAGCCTGGTGCCTTCGCCATTAGACCAGACTGGCTCTGGCAAACTGGGTTTGCTGGAAAAGGCATGTTGGTGTCTACAAGCATGCAACTGAAGCCCTTCAATGGCCTGGTGGTGGCCATCATCACGACTGTTTTACATCCCTGTAATCTCATCCTTTTTTTTTTCTTTGACCCGCGGGCAGATAGCCCTAGACTGGAGGCCAAGACCTACGAGAAGAAGTGGAAGACCCAGGTATGTTGACTGGAGAAGAAGCCTTCTTCCAGCCTCTGAAGGCCATCGATCGTTCCAGAGCAGTGGTGTGGAAGCCAAAGGGAGACTCCTGTCTGTCCTGGCGGTTCTCCTTGGCTTCCTGTCCTGATCAGCGGCTGGACCTGCTAAGCCGGTGGGCCCTTTCCAGCTCCTGGGTCCCACTTCCTCCTAAAGGTGGAGGCTGTCTAGGAGGAAGCTGCTCGACCCCCATCTGCTCCGTCTCGACTCCGAGACAGAGCGACGGCAACGTTCTCCAGGATTCCAGATGTGTGCTGGACGACGTGGCGACAATGGACGCCCAGGTGTTCGCTGTGGCCTTGTTTCCTGGGCTTTCCTGAGGAAGCCTCCCTCCCACCCCCAACCTCTGCTCAGCCGCCTCTCTCGGCCGCTATTTTGGTGTCTTTCTCCCCCTCCCTCCCGTTGTTTTGTTCCTCTCCCTTCTCCCTCCCCACGCTCTTTCCTCTCCTCTTTCCTTCCTTCCGTCCCTTCGTTCCATGCCGTCACCCTTCCTCCGAGGCCGGATCGGGGATGTGGCTTCCAGGGCTCAGCCAAGGGGAGGGGGGAACCCAGAAAATCCAAGCAAAACTCTCCAGATACGGCTGGGTGTGTTTTTCATCTGAAAAGGAGCAGCAGAGACAGCAAATGATAATTAAAAAAAGAAAAAGAAACAGCAGCAAAGGAAGGACCTACTCAATCCTTTCCCTTCCTGGAAGTTGCTCACTGTTCTAGGCCAAGAGTATTTATATAACTTTTCCCCATCAGGAGGAAAAAAAACCACGGTCAGTAGTGTGAAGGTTAGGAGTTAAGCATTCCCTTGACTTTTTCTTTCTTTCTTTCTTTCTTTCTTTCTTTCTTTCTTTCTTTCTTTCTTTCTTTCTTTCTTTCTTTCTTTCTTTCTTTCTTTCCACTTCCCTGGACCTATTCTTGGTGATGGTTCAACCAGGAGATTCCAGTTGGTTGTGGAGGCTGAAAGCATCACGGTAGAAACAAGAAGACCTTGAGTTCAAGTCCTTACTTGGAGACAGAAACTGGCTGGGTGACTTTAGGCCAGTCCTTCCCTCTCAGCCCAGCCCACCTCACAGGGCTGTTGTAGGGAAAATAGGAGGCAGGAGCATTAGGTATGCTGCCTTCAAAATAAAGGCCAGATATTCTCTGGAGAAGGTTCTAATGCTGGGAAAGGAGGAAGGAAAGAGAAGAAGAGGGTGATCAGCAACTGGATGGACCCAGTTACTCCAGGTGATGGGTGCGCCCTTGGAAAACCTAAAGACCAGGTTAGGGACAGATCGTCCTGGAGAAAATCTATCTAAGTGGTCGCTAAGAGGCAACACCTCCTTGATGGCACGTCATCAGTCGATCAGTAAGTATAACTGTAGTTTCCCTGCCTGCATTCCAGTTTGCCTCTCAGAACGGGATTCCCTCAGCCGTGGCAATTGGAAAAATGCAGACGCGCTCCCGATCTCAAGATTTAGCAACAGCGGAAAAGCTTCTGACAAACCCAGGATGTCGTTTAGCCAGTCCAGCAATCCGCAATACATCGTGGGATCACCTAGTTCAGTGTTGTCCAAACTTGGCCACTTTAAGATGAGTGGACTTCTGGGGAATTCTGGGAGTTGAAGTCCACTCATCTTAAAGTGGCCAAGTTTGGACAACACTGACCTAGTTAGAAGCCCTCCTGCCAAGTTTCCATCCAGCCAACTCTGATCTACCTGATCTGAACCGCAAAACTCCAAATCGCCATTAGATGGCATTGGACAGACCCAGAAAGCTGGGTCACCCCCAAATGGCCATCCAGAATTTTGAAGCCCAGATACAGTCACCCTGCTCCCAGTACACATCCCAGCTTCTGCCCCTCTCTCAGTGTTGCTTTTCCAATTTTTACTTTAGAGGAGGAGTGAAAAGCAGAGGCTGTTCAACTCTCGCTCCTACCAGCCCTGGCGTGCTGAGCAGCAAGGGATGCTGGGAGTTGTAGTCTGCCCACATCTGGAAGGTTTCCAGTCCCCATCCATGCTTTGAAATATTCTTCCTGCTTATTCCTCATTGCTTTTTTTTTTTTTTGACTGAGTGTGTGAATGGCATTGTCCTTTAAGATGATTTAAAAAGAGGCTCTTTTGCATCTAATTTTTGTTTATAGTCCAATTAACCAGTTTCTACTCATCCATTTGATATTGGATGCAAAGGGAGTACTTTATCTTTTGCTGGCGAAAGCTCTGTTGGAACTGGATCTTATCCCTGTGTAGACCATAATAACACTTTGGCCCCACCAGGTTTTTCTCAATTTGCACCAGGCCATGATACAAACACATCTGGGCAACGTCTTCCTTCTGCTCTGTCCCCATGAAGTTCCTCCATCTCATCTCCAGCTCAAGAGTTAGACAGCCTTAAGTCTGCGCTGGAGTTAAAATAGCAGTTCCCTCTTATTCCAACACGTCACCCCCCATTTCCTGGAGGGGAGTCAAAGGACTGGGAACAAAGGCCATCTTGGTAGAAGAAGGATCAGTAATGGTCAGAGGACGTTTCATGCTGGGATCGTTTTCTTCCAGTGCAAAGGAGTGTGGAGAGCACTTTGGCTCTGCAAGGCCTCAGGTCTACCAAAGTATGATTCCTGTATGTGGCCTGCAAGTTAAGGGCTCTTCCATCTGCAGAAGAATAGAGGTGATTGGGAAGCGTAGCCAAGAAACTGAACTGAGAGAGGAGATGTTCTGGCTCAAAGTTCAGTGTCTGTCTAGCATCTCGGAACAGGGAAAGTGTTCCTCTGCTTTATTACGGCTTGGGGAGCCATCACTGACCGTGCAAAATTCAGAGCAGATTCCTGCCACTTTGAGACAGGAAAGGCACAACATATGGATTCACACAACATGCTAGGCTAGGCTAAAAGGGTGTTGGAGAGTTTGTGGTTCTTTGGGAATCCAGGCTGTGTGTTTGTATGTTGTACGAAATACGGTGGTTTGGTTGAGACACAGCATGTCACATGAACACAACAATTAGCTATTGTTAAACCTGTGTTTAAGATTAAGTGCATTTTGTTAAACCAGGTTTAAGGTTAAGTGTGCTTTGTAAGCCAACACCTCTGTAGGGCTTCCAAGCCCCAAAAGAGGTTTTGCACTATTGAAAAACCAAAGGGATGATTTCTAATCCACTTTCCCACACCTTGAAAATTCTGAACTCACACTTGTCTGTGACACAGCCCTTTTTGGCATCACTGCCCCAGGCATGGGGGCCCGACGACTGCAGAAAAATTCAACCAGCTCCCCCCTTCACCCAAAAGTTGCCCATTCCTGCCTTAGAAATCCGTTATCGCTTTTTAAAAACTGGCTGCGTTCCTGTGTTTTTATCTGTAGCTGAACTGACAGAAATTCATCAGGGAAATCTTTTGCCAACACTTCTCTCCTTGCCAGGAAAAACTTCCGCTGCTAAAATAATTCCATGTTGAATCGCAGTTAAAGACACAGGAGAGCAGAGAAGCCGAGAGATCCTGCATTGCGTAACACCTGGGCTCCTTCTTCAGGTTGCCAACTTCCTTCTTTGCTCTGCTCTTCTGCTTTTAACCCAGGGAGGCACTCTTTCTGGACCCAAGGACTGCATTTCAGCTTTATATGTTAGGCGGGGAGACAGACTCCAAGGGGAAAAAAAAGGATGGGCCAATCTCAGGCCAAAGATTGACTAACCTACAATTAAAATCCATTAGATGCCATTAATATTGTTCCATACGTATTTTCCTTTCTTGCTGTATTAAGAATTATAGTTTGGCAGCAGGGTATAGATTCTCTAAGAAAAGCTTTGGGGAACTTTATGTGGCTTACCCTTTGAAAGACAAAGACATCAAATGGGACATATTTTAAGAGCAGCTTTTCGCCTCACGGCAAAAAGGGGTTTAAATTCTCCGCTCAGCTTCAACACACGCATGGAAGGTGTGAGCAGTAAAGCAGACTCTGGCAAAAGACTGCCTTTCACAATGAACAGGATCGATCTGTATTCACAGGACACGCCTTGCTAAATTAACCCAGAGTTGGCACAATCCTTTGAACGCTCAATCGGCAGGGTTTGCTGGAGGCACCGAGGTCACCAAAAACTTTGCCTGTTGATCTGATGGCGCAGCTGGGTCTCTGAGCTGGTTAAGACTGTTGCTCCAGCAAGCCCTCCGTAATCAAGCTTTCCCCATCCTACACTCTCAGAGACACGCACGCTTGCACAAAAGTGACCTGCAAGCCCTTAATATTAGCCGAACGGAAGTGTTTCCTGGAAGAAGCTGGCATCAAATGCAAGCAACCCAAGAGTTCCAAGTACCCAAAGATAGAGCAGGTTGGTGGAAGTTTCTGAACGCTTAGACCAGCGGCTCATGTAGGATTGTGGTTTTCTTAACTGGGTAGAGAGAGCCTTTGAGGGACCTTGTCCAAGATGTCCATGATCTGATCGAATGAGCTCCCTCCGTCAAGGTCAAAGCTTAGGAAATGCCATCTCCAGGCATCATGGAAGCAAGTCTTCCCCATCACTGCCCCACTTCTGGGGAACAGCATCCCCGCCCCCCCATATCTAAATGACCTCCTGGTTTTGAGGAAGGGCTTAAAGCTTGCTTATTCCATCAGACATTGCGGGGGGG